TCTTCAGCTATTGGCTTTGGCGAGCACCCACATAAGAAAATTCTGTAATCCAGTGAGGTGTGACTGAATAAAAACATCAGCCTGTGTTGTTTCCTCTAGAGAGCCTGATTGGGTTATTTTATTAGCTGTAGAGTTCACCACTTTAAAAACACTCCATCAGTTACATCAAAAGAGAAATAAGATAGTCCTTTGTGTCCTAAGGATCTCCCACATCTAATGAGACGCTGTAGGTCTTCATTCCGTTCATCAGAATGATGGTCAGCAGTCTCCAGTAGCTCATTTGATAAATACTGTTGATACTTAGGATGTGGGTAGGGTTCTAGGCATTAGACATCTCTAATGTCTAGAATATAGGAAAAGAGCTACCCTCGAGACCGACACTTTTAACTTGGGGAATAATGAACTTTTTTTTAACCATAGTAATGAACAAATAAACATATTCAATACCAGATGCTGCATTAGTTATCCATTAATGTATAACAATTTCTTCAAAACTTAGCACCTTAAAACATAAAAGACTTGTGGTCTCAAGGTTGGTGAGGGTTGGGAGTCTGGGAGCAGTGGGTTGGGAGGCTCCAGCTCAGCCTCTCTCACGAGGTTGGAGTCAAGGGCCAGGTAGCTCTGAAGTCTCACCTGAAGGTCTGTATAGGGTTGGAGGGTCTGGTTCCAAGTGAACTCATGTGACATTATCTCAAAGCTTTGTCCCTCACCTATGGTTCTTCCCAGAGACCTGTTCACAACGCAGCAGAGTGAATGATGTAAGAGCAATTAAGATGGAGGCTCATACTCAATTTTGGAAGCGGCATACCTTGCTTCGCTTCGGAGGTATTCTATTATTGGTTGTGACAGTGATCAGATGTGGGAGGAGAATATCAGGTCATGAATGCCAGGTTGCAAGGATTGCGGGCCCTCTTGGCCAGAGCCATGTAGGGAGGAGCAGAACAGGGAAAAGGAATAGGGAGGATTGGGGTTTGGGATGAATATTGCTCTTGATGCAGATGGCCACAGAGGACTTCACTGACACAAAGCAGACACCTAAAGGAAGGGAGAGAGTAGCTTTGTGGCCTACATTCTAAAGGACTCCAGGCCACCTCTTCCCAGAGGTCCCTCAGTACCTGCTGTGCTTCCCCAGGGCACCTACCCTTACTGGCTGGAGGCTCTCTCTGCTGTCCTCCTCCTCCCTCTTTCACTACAGGCTGAGCTCTTCAGTGCTGCAGAAGACATTCTGTTCATCTTTGAATCTGCATTGAAGGGTTAGTAATTGTTAGATGAATGAATGAAGTGATTCATTAGTATTCTCTGCAGTCTTTTTAAAGAATTTAGCTTGAATTGCTGTTTAACATTACTTAAAAAAATAAGCTTCAATTGTCTTTTGGGGGTTTATACACTCTTGAACATAAATATCTACTTTTGTGCGATGTCAATTGCTTACAACACTGGTGGTTTATGAAGCACCATATGGAACAAAAATATGTGGTAACTTATTGAATGGGAACATTTTGTGAGAAAAAATATTTTTGTTCCCATGCAACAATGTTTCCATTAAATTGCTTCTAAATATGTAAAAAGAAAAAAAGAACTCAAGAGTGGCAATAGAATACCCTAAGGAATCTAGAAAGCATGCAAAACATCAGTATTATTTTGATAATGAAAAACAGATATGAATGATATTTCTTCATACTCTCCCCACCCCCCCCTTTTTTTGCAATTACTTTCCTTGTAAATATATGTCACATGTTCTGATTTACCCACAGTCATGCTAGAGGCAGCCATTTATACAGAAAGATAGCAAGTCACTCACAGAAATATGCTTCCCGTGCATTTGGGAGCAAAACCTTCAGCCAAAGCAACAGCATCCTTTCCTCTCATCTGACTGCAGAGGTCTAACCTAATATCTGGTTTATTATCATTGCCAAATTTTATCCTGGAGAACTCAAGGTATCAAAGCTGAGGAAACTGTAATGTGCCTACAGATCACTGCATATTTTGTTAAATGTAGATTCTGGTTCCCAAGGTCAAGGATGGGTCCTCAGTTTCACCATTTCTTGGGTGTCAGATGTTGACTGTCAAGGTACTAAATCAAGGTTCAGAGAGTTCAGGGAGTATGCGTCTGCCTATATCCATAGGTTGTTTGAAATGTCTTTTTTCTTTTCTTTCATTTTTTTTTTGTTGTCAATATAATGAGGATTCCTCATAATAATCAAGAAACAAACTTCTTCTCAATTTGCAAAATAGTTCAACCATTTATTCTTCCATCAGACGATACTGATTTCAGGTCTCTGATCTTGAAATTTGATCAGTTTGGAAACCAGTTGTGTTCAGCTACGTTTTCATTTAACTAATTGCTAATGTTAAGAAATTTACAAAGTAGATTCCAAATCAAATTAAATCATTACCTCTTATCTATAAAACCAAGGCTCTGTGTTTCAAATGTTTTCAAGTTGGAAGCAAAGAGAAATAGTCATTACGAATATAATTAAAAAGTTATATCGATCATCCTTGTTTTAGTCAGTTTTTTTTTTTTTCCCGCTGCTGTGACGAAAGGATCTTACAGAACAACTATAGAGGAGGAAAAGTTTATTTCAGGGCTCACAGTTTCAGAGGTCTTAGTCCATAGAAGGCTGGCTCCACTTATTAAGACTCAAGATGAGGCTGAACATCATGGTAGAGTGTGTGGCAGAGGGTGGTCAAGAAGCAGAGAGGAGACTCCACTCTCCAGATACAAATATATACACCACAGCCACGCCCTAGTTCCCACCTTCTCCAGCCATACCCTCCAACTTCAGTTACCATCAGTTGATTCCTATCAGGGGATTAAATCACTGATTGGGTTAACACTCTTACAACCCAATAATTTCTCCTCTGAACCTTCTTAAATTGTCTCACACGTGAGATTTGGGAGGATACCTCACATCCAAATCAGATCAATCCCATATAAAATTCTAGGTAGATGGCTACCTTCCTTCTATACCCCAACTCTATAGAAGAAACAGGAATTTTACCCAAGATTTATTTCATTTTTATCAAAAAAAATTTCATGTGACATTGATCTATTTCTCAAATTAGTGCATAGACTGTGCAGAATTATTCACTGCATCTTTTTGATCCTTTCATATTCAAATTGTCTTATCAAGATGTGTAAATACAGGATCCTACTGGTCGGAGATTGCTGGCTTTCATTTATTTAAATATTTAACAAAGTAGAAAAATGTATCAGAATGAATGGGAGCTCCCCTGGCTTGTAATCACTAAAGCAGCTCACCCCTGGGCCTTGCCCCCTACCCAAAATCCAACCCCATCCTACTCCCAGAGTTCTCACCTCCGTCTAAGTGGGAAGGTGACACTTGTGCCCACGTTGAGACTCTTGTTGACTACGTCTCCACAGCAACAGGGCCCAGCTAGATGCTCTTCCACCAGCCAGCAAGCTGCCGCCTATGAGTCATACCAGCCCCGACTTGACTGGTCTCACAGCTCTCAACGTGCCTTGCTTCCACCAGAGACAACTCACAGGGTGAATCAGGGTGTCTTAAAATGTCTACTTGGGTTTGGAGTAATCCTAGATTTGCCACTTGACTTCATTGGGGGACTCGCTGCTGCCTCAAAGACGTTGAGAATCATTCTGACTTCTGAAAATCTGAAAAAGAAAACACAATAGAAACCCTATATTATTCCTTTTTCTTTTTCTTTTTCTTTTTTTGACATGAACAGAATCTTCATGCTTGTGGCCTTCCATCCACTTTTGGTTACTTTTAACTAGTTTTCATATTTTTCTTGAATAATGTAACTTTGACACCATCTGGATCAGAGCTCACCTAGCCCATGGGAGGTGCTTCATAAATTGACTGAATAGGAAGATGAATGAAAGATGGATCCATACAGAACCTCAACCCAGGGCGTGGGAGTGGTCATCACAATAACAAGTCACACATGTGTGTGAATAGCTAACATTTTACACAGTGTTCCTGGATGTTTGCTCACACTACCTTCATTGTGACTCCATGAAGTGGCAAGGAGATAAACCCATTTCACTGATGAGGATTATGAGCCTCTTAAAAATACAACCAGTCTTAGTACCTATAATTATGAATGTTACATAACACTTGATAATAAATGACTATTACTGTTTTTTTTTTTTTAAAAAAAAAATCACAACCAGTCTTAGAACATAAAGAGTATCAAAGTCAAGAGGCCCAGACTCCAGTTTCCCATTAGCTTGGTCTACTTCGGTATCTGGTCAGCACCTCACACCTCTCACCTCAGTTTCCCCATTCAGGAAAATGAACCAGCAGAGCTACAGTGGGGAGCAGATGAAGTCATTAGGTCAAGCTCTGGTAGTAGGATCGCCCTCTGCACGTGCAAAGCATCTCACTCGCTAGGGGAAGCGCAGGGAATGGGTCTGGGGTAGTCAGGATAAGTTAGACTAACGGGGGAAGTCAAGAATCCTCTCTAGCCTAGAGCATGGTGGAACCTGCAGGAAAACTCCCACAACTTTCCCAAGGATCACCCTTCCCTGGGAAAGGGCTTGAATGTTCCCACAGACAAATTGGACCTTTTTCCTATTCCCCATTAGGAAAGTTGGCATCACCCAAGAAGTGTACTCTTTGAGGAAAGGAAGCGTGCTTGCTGAGTGGATGCTCAATCATCTCCCAGCAGGGCGGGGCCAGGACAATCTTAGAATGTACCTCGTGGGAACAGACCAGAGAATGCTTCCTGAACTGATAGCCTGGGAGCAGGCAGGACATCCAAAGGGGCTGAAGTGATTCCATACCTCATGGTAATGGGAAGAACATACTGTGGCTGTGGGGCTCTTTTCTTTTTGTCAATATAGTAGAGGGAGGACCAGGAGTCTGGATTTTGTTCCTCCTCTACCATCAGTTGAATGGACTCAGCCTCCTCCGATGTAAGATGGGAACAGGTTGGGATTTGAAGCCATTTGAACTCTGTGCCTCCAACAAGAATCTGAATCAAATAAGAAATAGACATGAATCAGAGTGGGGATGGGGTCAGCATTAGTTTCATAACTGATACGTCTGGATTTGGAAAACCAGCCTGGATTTACAGCCAGATGTAATCCCCGTTATGTCACCTTTTCCAAAGACTGAACCAAATGCAGGCAAAATAGGTGGACAATCATGGCCCCCTTCCTTCCCCCAAAAAGTCATTCTTAGGAAAAAAAAAATCCAACAACAGACAGCAGATCAGGTCACTCCCAGAACAAGAAGAGGAGGAGAGGAGGCCAAAAGGAAGCAGGAGTCTCTTGTTTGGTCCCCACTGGCCAGAGATGAGAGCTTTCTTCTCTTTTGAGGAGAGAAGCTGCAAGAGCCCATGACAGAAGCCTCCTCTGAAAGTGGGAGGACAAAGGAAGGGGGTGGAGGAAGAACAAAATGAGGTCAAGAAATCTGAGGCCCATCAGCGCCAGTGAGCACTAGTGGTTCTTTCCTTTCCTTCTTTCTTCTCTCTCCCCAAACCTGCTCTAGGCAGTTCTCTGAGCCACGCTCCCTGGTACGACACTGTCTGTCTCAGTTTGATATGAAGGCAGAGGAGGAAGCACATCCTGGGTGGTCCCTGTGTCCCACCATGGCTAGCGTTTCCCTGGATGAGAGCCCCACCGGGGTGGTGACTTAGCTAGCTTCTCTCTTTCTACAGGAAACACTGCTGTCTCTTGCCCCATCTCCCATTCCTTCTGTGGCTGCTTGGTATTAAAGGTCAGCATTTCTAGGTGTGATTCCTCTCTCTCTCCATACCTCCTTCTGCCTGGGCTCCCTGGGTGATCCCACCCACGCCACGTCTTCAACTGCAGAAATTATGTTTGAACTAGTGTCCAAGTCTTGGCCTCCCTGACACTTCTGTCTTCCTGTTGTCAGCGAACACACCGGTGTCTGGATTCCCTTCAAGCATGGCAAACATTATTTTTCCAAACAGAACTCTCTTTCTTATCCTTCTTTCCTTGAACTGATTCTTTCTGGTGTTTTCCAGCTCTGTTTTCCTTAACTAAAAATCAAAATGTTATCTTCATTTGCTGTTGCGTTTTTATGTCACCTTTAACAGATGCCCAGTTCTACAGTGTCTCTTCCACCTGGCCTCCCCTACCCCTCCCAGTGTTCCCTGCCTCAGATGAGACCCTCATCTTTCACCTGACCCCTTGCAATGCCTCAGAAATGACTTCCCAGCTACTCGTGTCTTGAAAACAGTAGTGACGTATTGATCACAGTCAGATTCAGGGTCTGGTGAGGGCCTCTTCCTGGTTCATAGACAGCCTTTTTTTTTTTTTTCTGTATCCTCTCATGGCAAAAAAAAGGTTCAGGCAGCTCCATAAGATCCCTTTCATGAGAACACTGATCCCTTATGAAGGTTCCATCCTCATGACGTAACCATCTTCTAAAGGCCCCACCTACAAATGCCGTCAGAGAGAAGTTAGTATTTCAACATAGGAACTGAGGGTGACACAAATATTCAGTGCTCTCTTTTCTCACCAGTGTGCACACGCACACACACACGCGCACACACACACATTGTGACTTGTGTTCCCTTGCATCGTCTCAACTCCCTTCACCCAGCACTCTGAGTCCCTCTCATGTCCTGACCTCCTTCCGTTCTGCCTGGACTCCCGCTCATCCACCCTCTATGCCTGAGGACCAAGCAGCCCTAAATTCATATTACGATTCTCAGAAAAGCCCAAGCACGACCTCTAATGTTTCTCTGATTATTCCTCCCTCCCAGACCCTTCACTTTGAATGTCTCCTCCCCAAACACACCTACTCCCTACCTTGTAAAGACAGGAACATTTTTTTTTTCTTTCAAGGGCAAGCTCACATGTCCCTGCCTTGGTAAAGCCTACCCTGACATCCCCTCTCTGTGCCCTCAATATTGAGCTGCTGAAACAGTTGTGCATAATTGGATTGGAGTTAATCCATTTGCATTTATGTCTCTCCCATGTACTAGTAGTTTCTGAAGAACAGAGAGTCATTTTCTTTATCTCTTTACTTTCAGCATCTAGTTATTTTTTGATCTTCTCCCAGATATAATCACTGTGACATCTATTCCTCGCAGAGATGAACAGAAGCTTGAGGACCGGTTTGTCATGGTAATATTCCTGGTGCCACAGCTCTGATGATCAGGAAAACCTGTGAGTGGACCTGAGAACTTAGACAAATCCCTACAGGTTTGACCTCAGTGCTTCTGTCTGAACAGTGATGGAAATACTAATAACCCTCCTAACAAGCAATAATGGTAACATGAGACACCTTTTTCTTTCAAAGTTCTTTCATAACTAATGTCTAATTTGAACATAATGAAATATGCCACTGTTATCATCACCATGAGATAGACATTGCAGTTACACATTGGAGTGACTTTCATCTATGATACTTTGTAACCAATGATTGAAAAGATGATCCATATGCAGAAGATTTAAAGACCTCAAATTACAGTGTTCTTATTAAGCCATAAATATGATCAAAATTCTGATTTATATTTAGAGTAGTTTAAACTGTTTTTCATAAATCTTTACTTTGAAGTTAAACCTTTCTTAGAATCTGACTTCCGACTAGCATGGACTTCAAAGGCTCTTCATAACTTTTTGAGATAGCAAAGAAAAGCTGAGAAAAATTTATCCTGCTATGCTTCTGCAACTCAATCTACACTGGAATCTCTCCTAACAGAACGAACGAAAATACTGAAAACTCTTAATGTGCTAAGCGTTCATCACAATATTTTTTCCACAAGAGGAAAAAAAAATGGAAACTAATATAGTGTCCAACTGGAGAATAATGGATAAATGAACTACAGTGCCTCTGTGTGATGGGAACCAAAGCCGCCATACTATCTATGGGTAGCAACCCTTGTGTGAAAATACTCTGTGAAAGGCAAGGTAAAAACATATGCATGCAATATGAGCACAGGTATCTAAAAAATAAGCCCAAGATTCCAAGCAGCAGAGTTCTGATGCCCTTTGCTAGTTTCTGTGGCTTCTCCCTCTGGGAGCTGTTCATCCTGCTCTAGGAGAGCCGTCCTCGTGTTGGGACTGGAAAGCTCCAGCAAGAACTTCCCATAGTCAGAAGCACGAGTCAGAACTTGCTCTGCCAGATTGCCCTGTGGGAAAAGGATTTCAATACTCTCATGTTCTCGGTCCGACTTCACTTCCCTGAATTTTTTAAAAATAAAATTAATGTTTGATTGCCAAGTAATTTATGTTCGCTTGAAAATATTCCTTAATTTCAAAGTTTCCAAACCATGTCTGGTTTGAAG